TCTATGTTAGCAAGTTTTACACGACCAGAGATTGCTAGAGTCCAGGCTAACTGAAAAATCTGCATAATCAGAAAAATTAAACAATAGGCAATATGTTGCTGGTTGTTTCACAACATTTTATTAAATATGTTAAAGGATAAAGCCTCCTGGTAGCGCCCTGCATGTTCTCAGTGAAATGTTATCTCTCAGTATCCTTTTGATCAAATGAAGAGGGGGCTCCATTTTTTGATCTCTTGGTATTTTATTAGAAATTATTTTGGTTACCTGTTCAAACAGCCAGACTTTGGAATGTGCCATACTATATTTTATTGTTGCTTTTACTCCTTAAAGGAGTTGGTAAAATTTTCTCTTTTAGAAGAAGAACAAGATGATGCACTAAAGAGAAAAGTGTATTTTGATAAGTACCCAAAGAAACAGGAAAACAAACAATAGTTGCCTCTTCCTTCCAACATTTAACAGTTTTGTCTCATTATTTTGAATTTATGGTTACTGTTTAGGAAACTACTGTCACCAATGTTTGTGATAAAATGTTGCTAAAATGCATATTTATACTATCTCTTTTCAAGAGTTATATAAATCCCTACTTATTTAAAGAAAGAAAATGTCATACTTTTCAATGATTTTATTTCCTTTCTGCAATAGAAGACATTTTGGAGAAAGCCAAGAAAATTGGGAAAGAGCAAGGAATGGTATGCTACATACTGTGTGTAGGTGTTCAGTAAATGGTATTTTATGTTGATAAGCAGAAGGAAGAGAAAAAAGAGGGGTAAGTATAATTTTAAGTAGTTTTTTTAAATTTATGTTGCAAGACAGAGTTAGTCACACCTCTGTAATTAACATAAAATCAGTGATGAAGCAATTACTAAAGTATAATCATGCAGAAGAGAATAAGAACTACTATCTATTTTTTAACCACTTTCTTGATGGAAAAAGAAGAAAATACATTCCTTAATGATGTGTTTTGGAATTCAAATGGTTGGAGATTTTCCTTAAGCACCAGGTCATGTCAACCTGATTGTCACTGTAGTTATCAATTGTCAAGTATCTACCATCCACCAGCAATACATTCATTTATTTAATATTGTAATTATTTAATATTGTAATATTATTTAATATAATATTACCACCACTATTTTATAAGAGAGATAACAAAAATCAAAAAAGTTAAAGGCCTCATCTAATGGCTTATAAGCAAAAAAGTTAAGACTGGTAGTTGTAATTCTGGAGACTGAGTAGAAATAGATTTTGTGTTAATCTAGAGAGGTGTTATTGCCTGTTGATTTAGAAAACATGAACTCCAGCACCAGACTGGCTGGCTTTGCCATGTTCTAGATGTATGTACGACCTTAGGCAAGTCACATAACTTCCTGTGCTTCAGTTTTCTTATCTGAAAAATGGGTTATTTTGATGTTTAAATAATGTAATGTATGTAAAGCAATCAAATCAGTGTCTGGCACAACTATGCACTATGTAACTGTCGGCTATTATTATAATATTAACTCTTGCCCAGGATCTAGTCCCTCTTCTTCTAGAAAAAATAATCTACATAGTTCCTTGGGGAATCCCTCCTCCACCACTTCTAGCCTATGTGGTTTGAATGGTGTAACTCCACCCTGGCTCCAGACACAAACATATGAACCAAGCCTGACCAATCAAAGTCAAGAATCCCCATGGCTATAGGCACTGGTTCAAGAATGCAGTTGTGACAGAAGCAGGTCCTATGAAACAAGATTTGGGGACTCTGGGGTAAACTATTAAGGAAGAAAGAGCCTACTTCTTTTTCTTTTCTTTTTTTTTGGGGGGAGGGTTAGTATGAGGGTACATACACTTAGGTTGCATTGTTTGTGTTTGTAAGGTAGAGACCAAAATACAAGATATGGCTCTGTCCTTCACCCAGGAAGTATGCCATATACCCCTACATTGTACCCAACAGGTGGGAATTTAGCAAGCTCCCTCCCCCCACCCCACCCCCACTCTTGAATTTAATTGTGTTTTTCCCTCATGTGGACCTGTAATTGTTAATCTACTAGTTTCAGGTTAGAATGAGTACATGGGATGTTTGTTTTTCTGTTCTTGAAATACTCAATCTTTTTTATGGCTAAATAGTATTCTATGATTTATGGATCCATTCAAGGGTTGACAGGCACTGATGGGACCTAATCTAATTAAAAAGCTTTCCCACAGCTAAGGACACAATCAACAAAGTGAAGAGACAACCTTCAGAATGAGAGAAGACATTTGCATGTTACAAATTGGACAAAGGACTAGTGACCAGAATATATAAAGAAGTCAAGCAAATCAACTAGAAAAGAGAAAACAAGCCCATCAATGAATGGGCAAATGACACAAACAGAATCTTTTCCCAAGAAGACAGACGAATGGCCAAAAAACAAATGAACAAATGCTCATCATCCCTAATCATCAGAGAAATGCCAATAAAAAAACACTTTGAGGACTCTCCTAACTCCAGTGAGAATAGCCCACATCACAAGGTCCCAAAGCTGCAGATCCTGGCGTAGGTGCACAAAGAGGGGTACACTTATACACTGATGGTGGGATTGCATACTAGTACAGCCTTTTTAGAAAGAAGTATGGAGAATTCTCAAAGAACTGAAAGTAGACCTCCCATTTGATTTCTTTATAAAAGATAATGCTTGAGAGTGAATCCCATATGAGACAAAGCACAAATAAATGATAGAGAAGGAGAAAATCAAACCGAAAGGCATTGTTTAAGCCCCTCAGTTGACTGATGAGATCTACACATGAACTTTAAAGGTAAATGAGCCAAACTTACTTTTTGCTTAAGTCAGTTTGAGTTAAATTTCTATAACTTGAAAGCTAAGGTATCTCTACTATTCTCTATTTAAAAAGTTATATTTATGCATTTCATACAACTACTCCCTCTTCCTCCCTCTGAAATAAATTATTCCAAAATCCTAAGCAGTGCTATGTGGTCCCCACTTACCTCCTCTTTATAGAGAAGGAAGCTACAGGCTTAAGAAATTAAGTAAATTTTCTGAATTCATACACCTACTTATGTACATATTATTTCAATTTTTAAAAGTAGCTATGGTGGGATGGTCTTGGTGGCTCACATCTATAATCTTAGCCCTCTGGGAGGCAAAGGTACAAAGACCACTTGAGCTCAGGAGTTCGAGACCAGCCTAAATAAGAGCAACATTCTATCTCTACTAATAATCAAAAAATTAGCTGGGTATTGTGTCACAAGCCTGTAGTCCCAGCTACTCAAGAGGCTAAGACAGGAGGACCATTTAAACCCAGGAGGTTGCAGTTGCTATGAGCTAGGCTGACACTACAGCACTCTAGCCTGGGGAACAGAGTGAGACTCTGTCTCCAAAAAAAAAAGTATCTAAGGTGGCTTATCACAATACAAATAGATTTAAGAAAAGTTTCATAGACCATGTTTGAAATTCCCTTCTGTACTAAATGAGTAAGTCCCCAATTTTTCTCTTTGAAAAATGAGAAAAGAATATTCTGACAGAGAGTTTGGCCTGTTCAACAGATGTTATCAAAAAATTCAAGGGTTTCCCCCCATTTTCTATAAGCTGCCATGAAATTGCCTCCCTCCCTATATTAAATCCATGAAATGAAGGCAGATCATGGGAAGCAGAAAGACTCAGGGCCAGGGTGTAAGCACCACACAATTAACATTTGGCCTTCTCATCCAAATTCTCTGGTTCCACAGAAATGAGGCTTTCAGAAGCACAATTTTCAATGCCAATTTAAAATCCCAAATGCTACTGAAGCAAAAATTTGTTTTCACTATTATTCTTTAGTATAATAGACATGAGAAAGCTAAACTAAATGTGAACTCTCTGGTTCCTGGTCAGATTGCAAGTGTGTAACAGGACATGAAATTTTTGGTGAAAACACTACATTCTTCTATACCAGTGAAACTGTATCTCACACAATCCAACAATAATATTCACATCCACACCTTAAGAAGATGATCTTTATTTCTCCATCTGAAAATACCTTATACAGTCTATGGTACAATGCACATACTAGGCAAAACTATGAAAATAATTCCTTCTCAATTGAAATGGGTGCAACCAATACTGTTTAAATTTTTAACATCTTCCACCTGAAACTATCTCACAAGCCATATCAGTACCAGCAATGAGAAGTCTGGAAAAGAAGCAGAGAAAATAGGGATAATAAACTAAGAGAGATGAGAATGTTATCAATAGTTGCAGATTAGGCAGCTTTGCTCAATGGAAAGGATGGAGTTGGCAGCTTCATAATTGCCTCAGATTGATTGATATGACAAAGTGACAAAAGCAGATGATGCCCAGCACAGCTCTGAACAGTGATAAGTCACATATATCAAAACACAACAGCAGACGCTCTGTTTTTTTAATTTTTGTTTAATCTTTGAAAGTTTACCTGGTTCACTGACTCCAGTATCTGATTTTTCTTCTCTAGAGATAGGGGTTTAGCTTGAGCCACAGGAGTTTCACAGAGGTCAAGAAAATGAGATGGAAAAAGGAGATAGAAAATGATGGAAAGAGAGTCTCAGCACTCAGAGCAGTGGCTACTGTCATTGCCCAAGAATCCCATAGAATCAATAGTCCAAACATAAGATGGAGACAGCCTAAGATAATTAGCTATGAAAAAGAGACCAAATGAGCCAGTAATTCAATAGGCAGTCTGAAACAGAAGTAGGGACCTGTAGCATAGAATAAAGGATGGCAGGGGCAGGGAGATGAGAGCAGGCAACTTCGAGTTCAGGTGAGCCATGGATGTGAATTCTAAAGCAGGGCATAGTCCAGAGGAAACCATGCCTCAACTTTCCCAAAAGAAAAAAACATTTTATCATAAAGACATTTGCACTAGACTATTTATTGCAGCTTAATTTACAATCGCCAAAATGTGGAAACAGCCCAAATGCCCACCAACCCAGAAATAGATTAATAAGCTGTGGTATATGTATACCATGGAATACTATTCAGCCATTAAAAGAGATGGAGACGGCCGGCCAACGAGAGCAAACCCAGTGACTCACTGCCACCGCGACAGCTCCTCGATAGCTCTTCCCCTCACACACGCTCACACCTGGTTTGAGATGGCGGCGGCAGTGGCAGCGGCTGGGGATTCCGAGTCCTGGGACACGGACGCATTCTCGGTGGAAGATCCCGTGCGGAAGGTCGGGGTCTGCGGCACCGCCGGCGGGGACCGCTGGGAAGGCGAGGACGAGGACGAGGATGTCAAGGATAACTGGGATGATGATGATGATGAAAAAAAAGAAGCAGCAGAAGTAAAACCAGAAGTAAAATTTTCAGAAAAGAAAAAAATAGCAGAGAAGATAAAAGAGAAAGAAAGGCAACAGAAGAAAAGGCAAGAAGAAATTAAAAAGAGGTTGGAAGAACCTGAAGAACCTAAAGTGCTAACACCGGAAGAACAATTAGCAGATAAACTGCAGTTAAAGAAATTGCAGGAAGAGTCAGACCTTGAATTAGCAAAGGAAACTTTCGGTGTTAATAATACAGTTTTTGGAATAGATGCTATGAACCCATCTTCAAGAGATGACTTCACAGAATTTGGAAGGTTACTAAAAGATAAAATTACACAATATGAAAAGTCACTATATTATGCTAGTTTTTTGGAAGTCTTAGTTCGAGATGTGTGTATTTCATTGGAAATTGATGACTTGAAAAAGATTACCAATTCATTGACTGTCCTTTGCAGTGAAAAACAGAAGCAAGAAAAGCAAAACAAAGCCAAAAAGAAGAAGAAAGGTGTGGTTCCTGGAGGGGGATTAAAGGCACCATGAAAGACGATCTGGCAGATTATGGTGGTTATGATGGAGGATATGTACAAGACTATGAAGACTTCATGTGACATTTTAAAAAAAAAAAAAAGAGATGGAGACTTTACATCTTTTGTATTAACCTGGATTGAGGTGGAATGCATTCTTCTTAGTAAAGCATCACAAGAATGGAGAAACAAAAATCCAATGTACTCAATTCTGATATGAAGGCAGTGGATGATCTAATACAAAGTGGGGGATAGGGGCATGAAGGAGTGGGGAGAGGGGAAAAGGGAGGGGATGCCAGTCACAGTGTATGGCACACCTCTTGGGGGTGGAACACAATTATAAGAGGGACTTTACCTAACAAATGCAATCAGTGTAACCTAATTCTTTGTCTCTTCAATTACTCCCAAACAATAAAAAAAAAAAAAAAGGCCTGAGGCCATCTTGACAATATAGTTATCTTGAAAAACCCAAAGAGTCAGAAGACATTAATGATGTCCTCTAATCCCTGAGCTGAAGTGCCAACTGAGGAGCTTTCATGGAAGAGAAATTTTTAAATAATTACCAAAATTAATTTCTTAGTTATTCATTCATGGAAGATAAAAGAGTAGATGAAGAATGTGTTTGGAATTCTGCCAACCTTGGTTTGAGATCTGGGTTCTTTCTCTGACTTTGTGTGCTTTGGTTAGTAATTTTGCTAATCCAAGACTCAATCTCCTGAGAATAACATTAGTGCTTACCTCACAAGATTTTATAAAGACAAAATGATACAAACCACATAAAGCGTTTAACATATTATTATATAGAAAGTTCTACGTACTTTTGTTTAAAGGAATAGCTTCACTCAAATATGACTAACCTACAGTAAACTACAGATATTTAAGTTGTACAATTTGATACATTTTAACATATGTATACTCTCATTAAACCATCTCCATGATTATGAAAATGAACACACCATCATCCCAAAAGTTCTCATGTGCCCTTTTATCTCTTTCATTTTATTCTTCCCACCCTCACGACCCACCTCAGCATCTCAGGAAACAACTTATTTTCTATCACTACAGATTATTTTTTATAATTTAGAATTTTATACAAGGGAATTCTACTATGTACATTTTAGTGGGGAAGGGTGGTCTAGCTTCTCTCACTCAGCATAATATTTGTGAGATTTATTGCATCAGGCATCCCCAAACCACCCTTAGCTTTGATGATTTTCTAGGACTCACAGGACTAAGATTTAGCATGTAGGTTCCTGCCCATGGCTTTGATTTATTACACTAAAGGAATAAAAAGCACAATCATCAAAAGAATAAGGTGCATGGGGGGCGCAGTCCAGAGAAAACCAGAGACAAGCTTCCAAGAGTCCTTTCTCAGTGAAGTCACAGAACACACTTAATTCCCCCCCACAGCAACACATCATGACAATGCATATGAAATAGAGTTTACCAAGGAAACTTATTAGAGACCCGAGTTTTTTAATGGGGGATAGTCAGATAGGCAACCTCTACCTGGCATGTTCCAAAATTCCAGACTCAAAGAAGGAAAGCAGGTGTTCAGCATAAACAATATTGTTGGCAAAAACAGTTTAGATAGATATACTGAACTGTTCTTAAAAGCTCTTGGAAGGTAGGAACCCTCTCAAAATCAAAGTTTCTAGCCAAAGACCACCCTGTTGAGCAGGGCCTATTAAACGCAGCAGTCATAGACCTACTATGTTAACTCTTTCTTGAACATTTATTCATATTGTGGCATGTATATAAAGTGTATTCGTTTTCATTGTTGAATAGCTTTCCATTCTATGCGTGTGTGCATGTGTGTGTGCACACAACATTTTCTTTAACTTATCTTTTGATGAATGGGGGGGTTGAAGCTAATATAAATACAGCTGTTATGAACTACCATGTCCTAATCATGTGTGTCTATACAAACGAACATTTGGATATATGTTTTCATTCCTCCTAGGTATCTAGTAATCAAATGTCAGGATTATTTGGTAGGTGTTCATTGAATTATACAAGAAACTACCAAACTGTTTTCCAAACCATCATTTTACATTCCCACCACTAATACATTTTTGTGTATAAAAGTTTCATTTGTTCCATCTCTAACCAACACTTTCTTCTTCTTCATTTTTCTTAATTTCAGACATCCAATGGGTGTGTTTGTAGCTGTATCTCCTTGCATATCTCATTTCCCTAATAACTTGTGGTGTCAATGTCTTTTTATGAGTTAATTTGCCATCCCTGTTACTTTTTTTTTGTAAAGTGTCTATTCAAATATTTTATTTATTTTTTTAAAAAATGTATTCCTTATTATTGAATTTTGTGAATTTTTATATATCATAGATATAATTCCTTTGTCTTACGTGTGACTTGCCAACATTTTGTCTGAGGAGGACTTGTCTTAATTTTGAAGACAGACTTTCCAATTTGTTTCTGTAAGCACTGTGTTTTTGGATTGTTTCTAAGAAATCTTTGCCTAACCAACAAACATATTTTGTCCTGTATTTTCTTAAAGAAGTTTTATAATTTTGGCCTTATAAAACTTTTCTTAGAAGTTTTATAATTTTGGCCTCTATATTATATGTATTAAGTATTATTAATTAATACTTAATAAAAATATATTAAGTATTTTGAGTTAATACTTAAGTGTTATGCAAATATATGAAGTATTTTTGAGTTAATACTTAAATGACAGTTCTTTTTTTTTTCCATATATCAATGTTCCATTATTCCAGCCTAATTTGTTAAAAAGACTATCTTGTCTTACTAAAGTGCCTTCACATCTTTGTTAAAAAAACAATGGAATATATAGGTATGGGTCTATTTAGGGGTATTATATTCTATTTTGATCTGAAACTATTTTCCAAGAGTTTTCATTTAACATTTCTTAAAGTCCAAGTCTGGTGGTAATAAATTTTTTCACTTTTTTTGAGTCTTAAATGTCTTTATTTTGCATTCACTTTTGAGATTTTTGGCAGGTGTATTTCTTAGTTCATTTGGTCTGCTATAACAGAAAACCATAGTCTAGGTTGCTTATAAGCAATAGAAATTTATTTCTCACATTTCGCAGGGCTGGGACAAGATCAAGGCACCAGCAAACTCAGGGTCTGGTTAGGGCACACTTACTGGTTCACAGACAGCCATCTTTCTGTGTTCTCACATGGCAGGTGGGGCCAGGGAGCTCTCTGAGGTCTCTTTTATAAGAGTACTTATTGTCCCGGTCATTTGGGCCCCACCCACCTACCTAATCATTTCCCAGTTTCATGTCCAAATACCATCCCACTGGGAATTAGGTTTCATCATGTGAGTTTGGGGAGATACAAACATTCAGACTATAGCAATACAATATTTTATATGGTAGCAGTCCCTTACCTCTTTTCTTAGGTATACTCCTAGGTATTTCATTTTCTTTGCAGCTACTGTGAAGGTAATTGTGTCCTTGGTTAGCTTCTCATCTTGGTTGTTATTGGCATATACAAAGGCTTCTGATTTGTGGACATTGATTTTGTATCCCGAGACATTATTGTATTTTTTGATCACTTCCAGGAGTCTTGGAGTTGAATCTTTGGGTTTCTCTAAGATCAAATCATCAGCAAAGAGGGAGAGTTTGACCTCCTCTACCCCCATTTTTATGCCCTTTATTTCCTTCTCTTGACTGATTATATTAGTTAGAACTTCCAGCACTATATTTAACAGTGGTGGTGATAGTGGACAGCCTTTTCTAGCTCCAGTTCTAAGTAGAAAAGCTTTCAGTTTTACTTCAATCAGTATAATATTAGCTGTGGGATTGTCATAGATGGCTTCAATCAGTTTAAGAAATGTGCCACCTATGCCTATTTTCTTCAGAGTTCTAATTAGAAATGGATGCTGAATTTTATCGAATGCTTTTTCTACATCTATTGAGAGGATCATATGGTCTTTGTTTTTGCTTCTGTTGATATGGTGAACTATGCTTATGGACTTGCATACGTTAAACAAGCCTTGCATCCTGGGATGAAACCTTCTTGATCTTGATGAATGATTTTTTTTAATGTGTAATGTGTACCTGTAATGTATTGGCTAGGATTTTATTGAGAATTTTTGCATCTATATTCTTTAGTGAAATTGGTCTGAAATTCTCCTTTTTAGTTGCATATTTTCTGGTTTTGGTATCAGGGTGATGTTTGCTTCATAGAACATGTTGGGGAAGATTCCTTTCTTCTCAATTTTTTGTAATAATTTCTGCAGTATGGGTATAAGCTCTTCTTGGAAAGTTTGATAGAATTCTGGTGTGAATGACCTCTATAAAGAAAAATATTGAAACCCTAAGAAAAAAATAGCAGAAGATATTAACAAATGGAAGAACATGCCATGCTCATGGCTGGGAAGAATCAACATTGTTGGAATGTCAATACTTTCCAAAGCAATCTACAGATTCAATGCAATCCCCCTTAAAATACCAACATCATACTTTCGAGCTTTGGAAAAAGAAATTGTTTGTGTGGAACCACCAAAAAAACCCATATAGCCAAGGCAATTCTTAGTAATAAAAACAAAGCCAGAGGCGTCAAGCTACCAGACTTTAGGCTGTAGTACAAGGCCATCATGATCAACAGCATGATATTAACACAAAAATAGAGACATAGACATCTGGAACTGAATACAAAATCATGAAATGAAACTAATCCACCTAATTTTTGATTAACTAAACAAGAACACACACTAGGGGAATGAATCCCTATTCAATAAATGGTGCTGGGAGAACTGGATAACCACATGTAAAAGACTGAAATTAGACCCACACCTTTCTCCACTCACAAAAATTGATTCAAGATGGATAAAAGATCTAAATCTAAGGCATGAAACAATATAAATCCTCACAGAAAGTGTGGGGAAAACACTCGAATTTATCAGATTGGGAAAAGACTTTATGAATAAGACTTCAGTGGCAATTGCAACAACAAAAATAAGTAAATGGTACTTAATTACATTGAACAGTTTCTGTACAGCTTAGGAGACAACAATCAAAGCAAATAGACAACCATCTCAATGGGAAAAGATATTTGCATATAATGAATTGGATAAACGCTTGATAAGTAGGATC